TCAGCAAACTTACAGTGCAAAATGAAGTCCTTGCTTTGTCAGATGCCTTCTCCATTCTGTTTCAAGGCCTGGAAACTTCCCAAGTGTTTTTGAGGTTAGAGGGAGAGCTGTTGGGCAGGGGGGCTGGGGTAGCAGCAAAGCAAGGCTAGATATACAGATTTCAGTTTACAGTTTTGTTTCTGTTTCCTAATTGTTCACCGGCATGAGGAAGGCATACTTGAACAGGAAACAGATCAGTCACTTCACAGCTAAATGCCATGTGAGGCCTAGGAGATTGGGGTAAGAGAGGACAGCTGCTGCATTGCATTGCTGGAGACGCTGGGGGACCAGCCCTGGGTAGGGCTGGCATCTAGTCCTGCCTCGTCCTGGCTTCTGGGTACTAGGGATCCAGAGTGTGTTTGCTCAGAGGGACCTCATCAGAGATTATCTGGTTCACTCCTGTTCAGGCTGTGCGGAAACACAGGGTAGTGGTCTTGTTTCCCTTGTGGAGAATGATATGAATGTAGAGTATACAGCATGCAGCTACCCGAATTCCATGGTACTCAAACTGGTTGTCGACTGACTGGTGTCCTCAAAGATATATTCCTATCTTGATCCCTGGAACCTGTGAATGTTACTTTAATAGGAAAAGGTTTTTGTAGTGTGAGTAAGGATGGATCTTGAGATCATTCTGGATTAGTCAGTAGTCCTAAATGCAAGCAGTGTGTTCTTAGAAGAGAAAGGCAGAGGGAGTTCACACAGATAGGAGAAAGGCAGTGTGAATTTGGAGTCAGAGATAGGAATCATAAAACCACAAGCCTAGGAATAGCAAGGCCACTAGAAGCTGGGAGAGGCAAGGCACAGGTTCTCTCTAGAGCCTCCAGAGGCTCTGCCTGTTCATTGACTTCAGACTTCTGACATCCAGACAGTGAGAATAAATTTCTGCAGTTTTAAACCACTCACTTTGTCTAGATAGCCATACAAAACTCGTATACCAATCTATGCTCTCTTCAACTAGACAGTTCCACTGACCATGTGCTCATATTGCTGTAAATGCTTCTAAGTGCTTCCTCTCAATTTCTGTACTGCTTTTGTTATGAACTGGCAGCCAAGAGTTGGTGGGTGGCACTGGTTTGAGACCACTCCTTGAGTTCAGTTTCCTGGTCTTCCTCTGCATTTTATGGCAGAGGAAATGAAACTGAAGCCCAGAGAGAGGCAGTGGTGGGCAAGGTTCAGAACAGCAGTGGCCTGCTGCTTGGGATGGATGGACAGGACTGGGTCTGGGGAAAGCAGACAGTCGAGGTGATCTTGGGCATGTTCTGTAGGCCAGCTGGTGTCCCTGTGCTATTTTCTGCTCAGTGAAAGCTGAAGCTGTAGCAAACCCCTAAAGTACAGAATTGCTCAAAGGGCCCAGAAACCAGGGCAAACTTACTGAGCCTTTGCCACAACTAGTGAGTCAACTGCAGCAGGAAAAGGAGCCTACCAGTGACAGAGGTAACTGATGGCTTCTGTGACTTAATTTTTTAGCCCATCGTTTCATTCTTTGTGGCTTAGGTCATGTCTTCTGAATGGCAGTTATCTCTTATAAGAATAGAGACTAGACTATAGTAAGTTTGACCCTTTTTTCCCCTTAAATAGGACTTTTTCTTTGTTACTGTTTAAAATCCGAGTTTTAAAGATTCATATCTATCAGCTTGTTTGACTTTAGCACCTCATTCCCAGGACCTTTTCCAGAACTACGTCTCTTCACCATGAAGCTCCATGAATTTCCCCAGATTCAAACTTGGGCTTCTTCAGCATTTTTACTTTTTGAGCAAAGATGACATGAAGAGGGTAAATAGACTGCAAGCCTTTCTGTGTTTTTCCCAATGTTGTCTGGAATCAACTTACTGAACACTTCTTTCCACTCATTTGTCTGCTTCTCTTGGGTTGTGAGTTCCATCATCTTCCAGATTTGGCAGACCTGTTGGTGCTGAGCGCATGTGGTCTTGCATATCTGATTGTTGTTGCATTTTAGTAAAACCAACCCAGCATGGATGAAGCAGATATCCACTGGCAGTCTTGACATCAACAGGCGCTTCAGTCATTGTTTGCCATTTTTTGACCATAGAACACATTTTGTCATGGGTAAGATCCATGCTGTGGAAGTTAGGCAGATTTTGCCCTGAACAGTAATTAAGTTGAATTTTCTACATGCAGTTTCATCGTTCTGTAGGTCAGCAAGGCTCACTTTAAAACACACAACCCTTGAGGTTATCAGATGAAATTTTGGTTCCTTGAGTCCTTGTGAGGAGCGGTTTTTTCCCCCAATTTATTTACATTTACAAATAATATAAATTCAAAAATATATAAATGTAAAAAATAGAAAAATTATTTTTTGCAGTATTGGGGATTGAACTCAGGGTCTGTGCCTGCTAGGCACTTGAGTCACACCTCCAGCTCTCAATATTTCTTACATTGAGCATTGCTGATGCTTTCACATCATACCACTCTCTCTTAGTAGATGGATCCACTTTCTTCTTAGCTCTCTTCTTCCTGCCTTTTGTAAGGCACTTGTTCTTAACCAGGGTGCTCCTCAGAGAGCGAAGGCATCCTGACTTCTCAGTTAAGGTCCCAACCAACTCCTTAACTTGTATTCATTGCCCTTGGAAGGCCTGGTTGCTTTTTTCTTTCCAGCCTGGCCTCCAGCCCTGCCTTTCACACACCTTAATCTCTGAGCCTCACCAGAATCAGTGCTGTCTAGCAGAGGCCTAACAGAGGTTAGGTTCTTGTAAGCCCACAGTAGATGAGTTTATGATTGATCAACCAAGATCTATTGGAAAAATATGGCAAGGTGATAGAGGTTGACCCATAAGCCTTTGAAGTTTTCTAGAGGGAACAGTGTTTGCATACACTAAAATAGAACAAAAAAGCAGCACAGACAGTAATACTGATAACTGTTGCATGGGCAGAGTCATCTTAGCCCATCCAGCCAGTCAAGTTGTCAGATAACTGTTGCTATGTAAGTAAGCCAGGAAAGACCAGGAGAAAAGTTAACCCTGCCTGACCATCAAACCAGGAGAAACTGAAATGTTTAAGACAAAGAATAAATAAGAAAAGGCTGTGCAGTAAAACCCACTGCACTTATTTTAGTAATGATAGGCATTGTTTTGTTACTCAGTTACTCCTTACTTGCTGTAGATACTTTTCAGATTCTTTGTGTTTTCAATGAAATTCTTAACTTTGTTTTTTTTACAGGTAATGCCCATATTATGACCCCCCCCCCACACCATCTGGGGCTCCGTCTTTTTTTTTTTTTTTTAACTGTGAGTTAAGTGTGTATTTTTTTGTTGTTGTGCTGGTGCTGGGTGGGGATACATTGGAATATTTAAAATGTTCTTACAATGTATCAAATGTATCATACTTGTTGAATCCCCCCCTTTCATCCCTCCCCCATTCCTGGAACCACTTTAACAGGCACCATTTTTGCATTTACATACATGTGTATACATTGTTTGCACCGTATTCATCCTGCTACCCTTTCCCTGCCACCTTCCCCACCCCCAGCAATCCCTCCCCTCCCCACCTCCAGATAGAACCTGTTCCACCCTCCTGTTCTCTGATTTTGTAGAAGAAAAAACATAAAAGATAAGAAAAACATGGTGTTTTTGCTAGTTTGAGAGAAAAATAGCTGTACAGGGAGATTCTTTTTGTTGTTTCCATGCATATGTGTATTACAAACCAAATTGGTTCATCTCTACCAGTCCTCTTCACTACTCCGTACTCTCCTTCTCATAGTGGCCTATGCCAGTTTAAGATTACTATATTCATTCCTGTACAGTGAGCATATCGGCCACATTCAAGTTTTTGGTTTCCTTCCCTTGCCCTATCCCTTCCCTTAGTGTGACTTGTGCTTAATAATATTGGTGCATTTGTTTTAGGTCTATAATCTGCATATGAGGGAGAACGTGATTTTTGGCCTTCTGATCCTGACTAACTTCACTTAAAATGATGTTCTCCAGTTCCATCCATTTACCTGCAAATGACAAAATTTCATTCTTTGTGGCTGAGTAAAATTCCATTGTATATAAATACCACATTTCTTAATCCTTTCATTTGTAGTGGGGCATCTTGACTGTTTCCCTAGCTTGGCTATTGTGAATAGTGCTGCAATAAACATGGGTGTGCAGGTGCCTCTGGAGTAACCTGAGTCACATTCCTTCAGGTATATTCCTAGGAGTGGTATTGCAGGATTATGTGGCAGATCTGTTTTTACTTTTCTAAGGAGCCTCCATACTGTTTTCCACAGAGGTTGCACTAGCTTACATTCCTACCCAGCAGTGTATGAGGGTTCCTTTTCCCCCGCATCTTTGCCAACATTTGTTGTTTGTGTTCTTGATGATAGCTATTCTAACAGAAATAAGGTGGAATCTTAGTGTGGTTTTGATTTGCATTTCTTTTATGTGGGCCTCCGTCTTAATATTTAATGCCACTGAGATTTTATAAAGAGGTCACAGACCTCTTTCCTTTTTTCTCAGACTTTATGGAACAATAGTTCACAGGCCCTTAGCACTTTCTCTTATATTTTATTTGTCCCAAGGGTTTGTTTCAGAAGGCTCTGTTCTTTCACCCTCTACTTTCTTTTTTTAGACCCAACCCTGGATCTCATTTGTAAATCAGTGATATTTGGTTGCAGGAATCAGAAATGCTCTCATTTAAGCATTTGTTCACTGACTAAAGTAGTCTAGTGAACAGTTTAAGTTAGCAGAAGGTTGCTGTAGAATCTCAGGAATGCAGGGAGTGATGCTTGACCAGCCTGTGGGGAACTGGAATGGGAGGGACCCTCTAACTCAGGGCTATGCTGTACTCATCATGGTGGTGATGGGTGTTTATTCCCCCAGTCAGCAGTCAGTTGGGAGAAGGGAGCCATGTGACTGCTGTCTCAGCATGGGTAGGGTCCCCAGAAAAGGAAAGGGCTCTGTGGAGTGGTAGTCTGCCAATACCAAGCATCTATTATACCTTTTCTTCTAATTTCTCAACAGGAGTTACTCAAGTCACCTTTACTGGAAATCAGTTTGCTGAAATTATTGAAACAGCGGTTCTTGAGTTTGAGAAAAAGGTAAAAATTCTCTCTTAAGAGTGACTAATCTCTCAGGCGAGATTTGTCCCTGTCGTTCCTCAAACAGTATGTAATATTTTACCCCTCCTCTGTGCCTGGCCAAGTTCCTGTTCATCCTCTAAGACCTTTATCAAATGCCTCCCCAGCCTGCGTCTGCCTCCCCAGGGCTAGTGTTGAATGGGGGCTGCATGAGGAGGTTTTAGGGTGCGGTTTGGTCTCACTGTGGTTGTGTCCTCTCCTGGTTGCAGTATGTCAGACCTCTCCATCCATACCACGCTACTTTAGTCAGTGAACAATTGCATCTTAGCCCATCTCCCTATCCTAGAACTTCTTGCTTTAAATGAACTAGTAATAAGTTCCTTTTCTCAAACCGTTGGTGCACCTGCTAAATATCCCAAGGAAGTTCTTTACTCCTTTTATCAGCTTTCTTGGTCACCATCCTTTTAGAAGACTTATCCTGTCCCTTTCTAGACAGCAGTAATCCCAGTGCCTCATGTGTCTGTAGAGTGCTTTCCATTTTGCAGGGTGCTTCTACACACATCCCACAAGTCCTGGGAACCAGGCCAAAGCAAATGATAATTTCTCCCTCTCATACTCAAGAAACAAGCTCAGAAGTTTAAAGGTTTGCTTAAGGTCATGGGCCAATGTGAATGGAGTTTAGTTTTTCCCTCCTCTATACCATCTTGGTCCTTCCCTTTGGAAAGCTGCTTGTGCCACAAAACCTGGGCATTCTGTCCCTTACTCACCTCAGCGTTCCTTTCAGGGGGAGAGTCTTGATCTTCTGTTGAGAAATGCAGTCTGACCCCATTGCTTTCCCCACCTCCAGCCAGGCAGCTTCCTTGCAAATTGTCTTCCCCCTGAGATCTTCTGGTCACTTTTAAAAGTGGCTTTCGTTGTTTGTTTGTTTCCTGGCAGGGTTTACTTTAATGCAGGAAATTTAATTATTTTATGTAGCTGCTGTACTGTCTTACTCTGAGTAAACTGGAAGACATTAAATGAGTTTGATCAGCTTAATCTAGCTGTGTGTAATGTTCTTTCTTCCCTTCCTTAAATAGTTGCAAATGGCTCTGTCAGTCAAGGTAGCAGAGCACAATGGGATTGCCATGTGGAATTATTTAGTTAAGTATGATTTTTAAAAAATGGCTCAACTTTTAATTAGAAAGCAGATTGTCAACTGGCATTTTGATTTGTCCCTTGATGGGGAAATTGGAATAGACTCATCATAGTAAGAAACAAGGTTCTAGCCCAGAAGGACAAAGATTAGCTTTAGAGCAGGATGTGATTTCAATGCATCCTCTCTGCATTTTTTTTGTTGAGAGAATTTCCTCTGCACCTGATACTGCCTTGGATTAACAGTTTTAATGGGAGACTCTAATCTGGACTGTCCCAAACAGAATGGGATTCTCAAGGGGTATCTCAGGCCCAAGATCAAATACCACCACTTTTTTTTTTTTTTTTTAAACCGGGAATCCTTGAAACATCAGTATGAAGAAATCGGCAAACCTCTTATGATACCTGTAATTGAAGAAGGCGTCAGACTACATGCTTCAGCTGTGGCATGATGCAAAAAGCATTTTACTGTGAAAAGTTGCTGTATTCTCAACCCCAAATCCGGATCTGTGTTACTGAGGATCATAATAGAAGCAGCCTGTGTATCTCCTGGTTGCATTTGGTCTCATAAACATCTCATATGGTTGTACTTCATCTTAAACTGGCACAATGCTGGCCATTCAGTCAGTATGAAAAGCTGCCGGGAAAGGGCCACCTCTCAGGTTGGCTCCAGGTGCTTTTTGTAGCAGTTAGCAAACTTGAGTCTCATGTGGGTATCTCAAGCTTAATATGTCCATGTTTTAACTCTTCGTTTCCTTCTACTGTAATCTCTTTCCAGACCTCCCTCCCCTCTATCTCATTAAGGCATGTAGTTAGTTGTTTACTCACTTTTAAAGCCAGGACCTGAGGAGTCATCTGTTAATATTCACCTTTCTCTTCCTCCAAATGATGCTTCTCCCAGCATAGCTCTTGAATCCATCCACTGTCCTTGAATATACAAGCCAGTCTTGTCATTTACTCAGGTCACTGCACAGCCTTTTAATTAGTGCCGTATGGCCATGCTCATCACTTTGAACCCAGAGTTTTCTTTCTTTTTTTTTTTTTTGGCGGTTCTGGGTTTGAACTCAGGGCTTTATGCTTGCTAAGCAGATGCTCTGTCACTTGATCCACTCCACCAGGGCCCTCCCTTTTGCTCCCATTTTGTGTGTGGTGTGTGTGTGTATTTTCAAGATAGGATCTCAGACTGTTTGTCTGGGCTGGCTTCGAACTGTGATCCTCCTGATCTCTGTGTACCGAGTAGCTAGGATTACAGGTGTGAGCCATGGTTGCTTGACTCCCAGAGTTATCTTTAAAAGTAAGTATGGCCATATGGTTTCACTCCCTCACTCAGAGCCCATCAGAGACTTCCTCCTGTACTCGGATGCAGCCCATAAGCCCTGCACGGTCTGTGGAGAGGCCTGTGTGGTCTGGGACTCAGACTTGGCTAGGGATTCCACAGTTTTGTTAGTAGTCCTTTATTGTAGTGTGTGAGGTGCTTTCTCCCCTTGCACTTGATTTCCTTGAAAGATCAGAATGACTTTCTTTGATTTTTCCAATGCAATAAATAATTTTTTTTTAAAAACCTGCCAGGCTCTCAAAGGTATATTTAGAATGCATATTGTCTTCTGGGAAATGGAACAGGAAGTGATTTGTTCCCCCAAATTCCAGAATATCAACTCCTAGAGCTCAAAGGTGAACCACTATTTCATTTGGTTCTTAAATAAGTTAACAAAATATGTAACCAAATAAAATTATAATATTCCCTGCTACTCTCCAAGTAGCCTTTCTCCCAAATATTTTGATATAAAAATGTTCAACATTTTAGCTCAGGAAATTATGGATGAAACTTGGTTCTAGATTGGTAGTAGAAAAGAATGATATCCTAAAGAGGAAAAGGAAGAAGAAACAAAGCTAAACATTAGTGTACAGCTTTCCTTTTAAACACATTTCGCCTATTCTGAAGCCTGTTTGCGTTCTTATCGTAGCCTTGAGCTTTCCTCTTGTGTATGTTTGTGGAGATGTGCACATACCTGAAAAGCAAACTGTGTCTTGGTCAGTGATACTCCCCATCCTGCCCAGGTCTTCTGTTCAAGGTAATTAATGGGAACACTGAAATTCTAGTTAGATATTTGATGCACTGTGGCCTGAAATTAAGACAACTTTTCTATGACCTTGAATTTTAAAATGTATCAGTTTGGTGGATCCCTTTGATGAGCTGTTAGCAAAGATGATAATGAGAATACCAGACAGGGGGATCTCCTATGTGTGATGAGCAGTGTGGTTGAGTTTATGACCAGGTGCTATGGGAGTACAGAGATGGGCCCCTCACTCACCTTGGGGAGTGCACAGTCATGTGACCCTTGAGATGAGTCTTAAAGAGCAGTTTGCCAACCACAAGTTGAAGTTGGGAGGGAAGGGCCTTTCAGGCAGCTGTGTGGGTGGAGCTCAAGGAGGTCACGGGAACATGACACGGCCAGAGAACTGCAAGGAGCGTGGATTTGGGCACAGTGGGAGGCATGCTGGAGTAGGTTTGGCTGGAACAGGTGCCTGATATTGTAGGACCTTCCTTGGGGACCAGATTAAGCAAGGGGCTTGGACTTTTATTCTACAGGCAGTGGAATACCACTGTAGACATTTTTGCTTGGGAGTTAGTGGGTCAGATTGTTTCTAGAGTACGGATTCCGTAGGCATGGACTGAACTTCTAAGACCTCCTGAAAGGAGGTCCTGTCCTTTCATCTGTTCTTGTGGGTGTGAGACTTGCAAAATGTAATTGGTGGGTGTTAAGTTAGTCCCTTGCTGGGGTTTCTGGATGGCTCCATTTTGTATTCCACTGGAAGGCCAAGGTCTCGCTATGCTCAGCAGTCCTCTGAGCCAGGACACTAAACTTTTGAGTTCCTGCAGGTTGGAAACAATGTACCAACAGTGCAGTGTTAGCAAGTTCTTGAGTCTGTGACACTTGCTGAGAATCTAGATGTTTAATTATCAATTACTGTTGGCTTGGCTTTCTCATTACTAGTTGAACATGATTTGATTGGTTGTTAACTCTGCAGTATAGAATAATGGATATTTGTGTCAGCAATATTTTTTTGCTAAAAAGTTTCTGATAACTAGACTTTTAAATAGCTCTGAGATTTAGATGAATCATCTGTAGCCCTTTGCAGAAGAACTTGTTCACATTCCCATGTATGAATTTCTATGGTGATTTTCAGGTTTTCCCTTGTTTTTGCTGGTAAGGAGAACACGATGTGGTGTTCTCCACCACGATGTGAGACAAAGAAGTGTGGCAACTTGAGCCTGCCTGCACATGCAGTGGTTTAGAAGTATTACTTAGGGCTTGAGAAAGTGGTAAGTTTAGGAGAGAAACATGGGTTAGGAGCTGTTGCAGAAATCCTCATGATCAAAGATGAGGCCTGGGAGGCGGGGGAGGGGGATGTGTTTGAGAGATGTTTAGGATGAGGGAGTGGTGTGAGGAAAACAGTCTGAACTAGGGAGCGAGAAAAGGGGAAGGTGCAAGTAATCCGAGATTTCTGACCTGGGCATTAGTGAGAGGAACAAGTTAACAGTCAGCAAGTACATCAAACAGGCCACGCTGAGAAGACTTAGAAGTAGGCAGATGTGTGGCATGTTCTTCTACAGGCAGACAGAAGTGTGACTGTGGTTGAGGTGTGGTCGGGGCTGGGGCTGGGACTGGGCTCAGCACATTGTAGGCAGGGGCTTGAAGGCCAGGCCATGTCAGTGCTCTGTTGCATTGGCAGTGGGGAGCCAGGAAGGCTTTTCCATTTAGAGCACTAAGATCAGCCCTTGGTTTAAATGAAATCCTTCTGGCTGGAAACTGAAGGAGCTAGAGGCAGGTAGGCATTGGATGAGAATCAGTGAGGACTGTCACTGTAGTGGCAAGGAGAATGGACAG